GATATTAGTATATAGTCCTATTATGGCCCACATTCTCCCTGAGTATGTGAAATAGTGTAAAATGCAGTATCTTTCTATCCTTTTTTACTATGCTTTGATTTTGAGAATGTATGTTTTATAAAGGCATTTAGAGTCTAAATCTTTGGAGAAAAATAATATTTTTCAATCTGGATCAGTGCTTATTACTCTTCTTTGGAGACTTAGACAACTTTGAGAATGTAATTAAAGCTACAGAAACTCATTCATGAAAAATAGATGTACGAATAATCACAAACTACGGAATAATATGTTAGAAGTTCCAGAAGAAGTTCATCTATTGACAAGATTATGAGTTCCTGAAATTTGTGTTTTCTTTTTCCACTTCTTCAGCCCCTTAGAAAAGAAAAAAAATGTTGAGCTCATTTAATATGTAAATGAATGGAAGCTAAAAGCAATGGAAAAAATAAGGAGAACAAAAATTTTATCTATTAAATACTCCTGTTTTTCAGGAAAGTTTATTTTATAAAATGCAGTTTAAAACAAACCTCAATCTTATGACTTTACTGAAACGGAAGATTTATAGATTTGCCAATTCTTATATGAGGGAGATTGTTTGGTTATGGATTATTATAGAATTAAAAAAAAAATTAAGCAAGAGTATACATTATTTCTCAATGCAGTTATCAATTTATTTTTCAGTAAAATTACATGAGAATTTACAGATATGGGATACTCTTTCTTCTGTGCAATTCTGCCAACTATCCCCATCAGAATAGGATTATCTATATAGTCTCAATATTTTCAAAAAAATTGAGAGAGATTGAGCTACAAATAGCTTTATAGTGTTGCCTGATTTATAAACTGCTGTATTTATTAAAAATTCGGGAAATACAGAATATAAAGTAGACTATTATTATTATTTGAGACCAAATATCACTGTGTCACCAGCCTGGAGTACAGTGGCGTGATCTTGACTCGCTGCAACCTACGCCTACTGGGTTCAAGCAATTCTCCTGCCTCCCCATCCTGAGTAGCTGGGACTACAAGCGCATGCCATCACACCCAGCTAATTTTTGTAGTTTTAGTAGCGACACGGTTTCACCATGTTGGCCAAGATGGTCTTGGTCTCTTAACCTCGTGATCTACCTGCCTTGGCCTCCCAAAATGCTGGGATTACAGGTGTGAGCCACCGCGCCCAGCCAGACCATGATTATTATCTGCAGTTTTCAGATATAACAACTGTAGTCATCTGCTATATATCATTTAGATGTCTTCTGTACATTTTTAAAGGTATCAAAACAACACATGTATGGAAGATAACTCAGCATTTTGTTTTGAAGCTGCATTTTTAATTTATTTAATAAGTGTCTAAAACTTAAAAATTTAATACATAATTTTTTTGGCCATTGAAACAAATACAAGGAGATTGGAGGAAATTTTAATAAATCTTCAGTCATTTTAGCTCCATCACTATCCCCTGAACATATGAATCATATCAAGTCTTACATATATGCTTGCACATCTTCCTCTGACACTGGCTTTTAAACAATCACATATATATATGGATATTTAATATACTACCACTTTTTGTTTTTTTTTAATCACAATTCTTCCAGGCTAAGATAAATAAATGTAGATAATTTTTAACAATATATTAAAACTTAGACTTGGTTGAATTCCTTAAAATGTATTTATTTATTTCTATAAGGTAGATTTCTAGGAGTTGTGTTTCTGGATAATACATTGCATACATTTTTTTTTTGGTTTATTTTAATAGATGTTGCCAGATAATTTCTAATTTTTAAAGGTTTTTATAGTTTTCTGAGTTATAAATAAAAGTTATCTTCCCATTCCCGTAGGTTAGAAGACTTTAATACTATCAATCTGGTAGATAAAAACCATGTGGCATTATGACATTAAATACAATTTTCTGTCTCCTACTGAGATTAAGCAGGTTTCTTTTGTGTATGAGTCATTTAGTTCATCTCTTCTGGAAATAGTTTTTCTTCTAAAAGTATTTTTTTTGTATTTTTTAATAACTATTTGTTTTTGTTATTTTCTCTTCTTTAAGTTAAATTATAGATGTTTATTAGATGTTTTTTATATTTGCTGTATTTGTAGGAAATATCCCACAGTTCATCACTTTAATTTGTCATTGCACTTACTTTCTTTTTTTAACTTGTATAAAATTAAATTTGTAATTGAAGTAAGAAAACTATACAAAATTTTTTTTCCCTAGCCCCCAAATATAAAGATCCTCAAATACTTTAGTTCTAACTTTCTGCTTGTCTCTTCTGAGTTACTACTTAAAAGCAGTTTAAATCTTATTTTAAAAGCACACCATATTATCTATTTAAAAATTATTATCTATCAATAATGCTATTTACATTTACCAATGTTTCTAGGTAATTATTTGACCTCCATTTTGGATTCAGTATTGTTCTAGCTGAAATTCATCCTTTAGTAGTTTGTTTCATATAATGTCTAAAATTAATATCTTGTTTTTTACTCTCACTCTAAATTGCTATTTCAAGTAAATAATTCTATGTTGAAAGTTATTTTTCCTTTTCACTTTTAAGATGATCATATTTACAAAACAAAATGGAAAATTATAAATATTAATAATTTTCAAAATAATTCAACAAATAATTGGGTGTGTAAGGGGTATACGTTTTATATTTTCCTAATTATTAATATTAGGGAGTCTGATTATATTTTTAATTACTTGAGAAAGAAATCCTTAAGAATATTATTCAAAGTCATGGAGGATTTTTGCTTTTATGGGTTATTAGACAAGTCCAACTAACACCCTAAAACAACACATAAATTGATCAAATGTAAGTAGATAATATCTGTTTGAAATTATGGATAGCTAATAAGATCATAAAGTGGTGATTTGGGAGAGGAGAAAGATTAGGGGAATATACCAAATCCTGAGCAGTAAAATAAAAACAATTTTCTCTCTTAGTTTTGTGTGTTGCTTGGTTTGGACAACTCACTTCTTCCCTCATCTCTGGAAAATTTGCAGCCACCATTTGCCCATTCTTTTCAATTTCTTCTAGAATTTCTATGACATATATGCTAAATGGTCTCCATCTATCTCCTAGAACTATTACAACCCCCTTCCTATTTTTATTTCTTCAGTATTTTGTTCCAAATTATTTTCTTGTATATTATCTGTGTCATGATTTTTTTCTAAATTATCTTTAATCTCCAAATCAGTGTTACTATTATTTATAGAAGTTTTATATTATTATTTTTCAAAATACCTATTTTTGATTCCATCATATCATGTTCTGATTTTTATAGCCTAAATATTTTAAATGTATGTAGTTTCTTTTAGGTTGTACAATTTTTTTCTCCTTCTTCATGGACTTTCCTTTATAGGGATTTATTCATTTGTGTGGCTTGTAATTGTTTTTAATATGATTTTGTCATCAGCAAGGATTGCTTTCTGTGGGAATTTCTTTCTCTCTGAATTTATACATAAGATTAAGTTTGTATAAATAGCTTCCTGGGTCCTAAGCATTTTACCAGTTGTGTATATCAGGTTTTACATTAATTATTCAGTTTGAGTCCTCTACTATGCATAAGTTTATGCTCTGCACTCATACAAGTTGCAGACCTAGGTTCTTGAATTTCTGACAGCTCTGTGCAGTTTCACAGCTAGATGGCCAGCTTCTATTTGACTTTCATAAAGTACTGGATATAGTTTAATAAGCCATAAAAGCAAAAATCCTCCATGACTTTGAATAATATTCTTAAGGATTTCTTTCTCAAGTAATTAAAAATATAATCAGACTCCCTAATATTAATAATTAGGAAAATATAAAACATATACCCCTTACATACCCAATTATTTTAGTTGAATTATTTTGAAAATTATTAATATTTATGATTTTCCATTTTGTTCCATAAATATGATCATCTTCTTGTTCCCACTTCACAACTGGGGCAATCCTCCAAGTTGCTAGACTTCAGGCAAAGATGCACAATTCCAGTCTCTCACCTTGCATGGCTCTGAGTCCCATCCCCTGTTCCTACATGTACAACAAGCCTCAGAACTCAGCCCTTCAGGACCTTTATCTGTTTTGCTAGGACTGTGGCCCACTTTGGCTTTAGTTGTGACTCTTTGACATTTTAAATTTCCTCTACATGTTTGTACTTGCAGATTCAAACTCAGTTGTGCATTTAGTTAAAAAGAAAAAGAGACTATGTAGATTATGGGGTGATGGATGCAGCAAACCACCATGACACATATGTACCTATGTAACAAACCTGCACGTTCTGGACATGTACCACAGAACTTAAACTATAATAATAATAAAAAAATTAAAAAGAAGAAAAGTGGAAGTTTTCCCATATCATCTTAGATAGGCATATTGACCTGATGTTTTCTCTGAGAAGCTCTTTAGCTTCTCACAAAAATATCTTTGTCCTTCACATGCCCTCCACTTTTTCCCTGGTAAATATAAATATAGGTTCTCTATGTAGGTATATATAACATTATAACCTAATAACTTATTACATGTATTCTAGTAGTAACATTTTTCCATGCTCAATATTTATCATTTATATATTCAGTTAAGCAATCATTTATAAATATATATTAATGGTTCATATACTGTTTAACATTTTTATTCATTTTTGTTATTACTGATTACTACCAGCATACAATAATAAGCAGAAGACCATATACATGAGTGTACTATATTTATTCATTCTTTCAACTACTATTTATTGAATGGCTAGTATATAACAAACACTGTAATAGGCACTTGAAATCATGGGATGAAATGGAATGTTTTTTATGTTGTTTTCTTCGTGTTGGTGAAAAAGAACGGCCAGTTTTCTTGCCTTGGGAAGTGACACAGAGCAGAGGTAGTCAGAGCCATCTATGCAAAGACTGTTTGAACCCCCTCTTCCATAGAATTAAAACTTGAACTACAATCTAGTCCTTCACTGGCATTTTTATGTTGATGAGTGGTAATAAATATTAAATTGTCTCGGTATTTTTACAGCTTAGTAAATCGAGTACCTTTGGAACTCTGGAAGTTATACCTGAGATTGAATCAGAAACACAGGCGTTCTCGGTGGTGACAGAAGACGATTGTGAAATTCTTAAAATCCCAGCGAAGGGATATGCAAAGATAAAGGAGGTATGATGATATCTAATATTATAAATATTAACAAAAATTGGACATAAATTCAAGCTACATTTTGCTTCTCTGGACAAAGATATTCATATCTGTTTTATTTTTAAATTTTAACTTAACCTAGAGACCAAAAAATGTGGTTTATTTGACAAGCATCACTTACGAGCACTGGTGATTGGTAGGCGAGGCATAAACAAAGGTCTCTATGGATATATTTTAGGTAATTTTAAAATAGCTTTTGGCTTTTTATTCATCTCTAACTCATTCAGTTATTCATTCATTTATTCATTCATTTGTTCATTCATTCAACAAATATGTGTTTTGCCTGTCCACAGCATGTCATATGCTAGGAATACTAGAATAATACAGGTAGTACAACTGCAGCTCTCTACAGTCTACTTTAGAAGGAAGAATACTTGAATGTGATTGGTATGTTATTTCATAATTACAACAGATATAAAACTCAGAACTGCATGAATAAGTGATAACAACTTATTCTGATGTCCTAATTCTGCAGCTTTAAGATAACACATTTACTTAAAGTTTAATAATTTTTTCTCTCTTCTAATTAAATCCAAATTTTTTCTTGACTCCCATTTCTCCTCCCTTGGATAGCAGAGGAAGTTTGTATAAATAATGGGATTGAAAGGTTTCCGTGATCCTGCTCTTTCTTTTCTTTTCTTTTTCCTTTTTTTTTTTTTGAATGAGCTTAAGCCAGGTGCAGGTCCTGTAGAAAGCTAGCATAAACTATGGTTCGGTGCTCATGAGACATGGAGTTGAGAAGACATCCACCCTCTTACATCTCCAATGGTGGTGATTTCTTGTGATATAGTGGTCCCAGTGCCAAGGGTACAGATAATTTTCTCAGAATTCAGTGTTATTCCAAATCCCTGGTGTTCATATGTTTGAATTTTCAGAGTGGCTGGCTTAAAAAAAAAAAGCTGTATATTTTATTTTTATTTTCCAGATATCAGTACCAGTTACTTAATATCAAACACAACTTTTTAGTTTAAGCTTGACTATGACAGAGTTTTTAAAAATTACCAAAACATTTATAGAAGTATAAAATAGCATGAAAGGTGAGCAAATATAATTTTAGTAAGTAGATCTGAAGATTAACATTTTAATATGTCTGTGGTCATAGAGTGATGCTCTGATAAAATTAGAATGTCTTCTATACTAACTTTTATTCATACAGCTTTTATTTTACTTCTCTCACCATTTATTTGCTATTTCTTTGATTTTAAATTACCTATTATTAATAATTTGATAATGACATTCTATTTTAGGAAAAAATAAAACTTGAAAATATGCAAAAGTTGCAATTAATCCGTATGTGTCCTTATTATGAGGAATGGCCTACTTTATCCATATTTGAACTAACTGCACTCCTCAAATGGAAAAAATTTCCTCCAGGAAATGGTGAGTTTATTGCAATTTTGGATCATTTTATTTGCATACTGTTGTATTATTGGAATTGAAATTCTTCATAGTTGTAATATTTTATACAGTATTTCTTCATAAAAATATTCTCATTGATAATAACATTTGAATTGGACATTTAGATTATTTTCTGCTTTTTATTAAAAATGATACTCTACTGGCTTGAAGAGTGGTCTCAGGACTAACCTTACTTTAACATCTCTCTTTGCTCCATACAGCTGTTCTCCTCTTGTCACTATAAGGGCCAAATTGAAAAGCAGAAATACTAGGGAGAATAACCATTCACACAGGAGAAAAGGAAAATGGTTTTGTGATGTAGTGGTCCCAGTGTCCAGTGTCCCAGAGAAAATGGTTTTCCTTTTCTCCTGGCTGGATAATTATTAAGCAGCAAGTTTGCTAATCTCTACTTGTTCTACACAGATTAGCAGTGGAAAAAATAATTACAGAGAATGAGTGAGGCCTAGATAAGAGAAAGCAGCAGTGAAGCATCTACATTTTTGATATTCAACATAGCAAAGATGCACAGATTGCCTGGATTTTGTGTACACAAAAAGTGTAGGTGGTATTGAGTCATTTTGCACAATTTGTCCATCTGTGAAAGCCAATTTAACAAGGGTTGCCAACCTGAGAGGTACTGTGGTAGGAGAGGTCAGAGCTTTAGATCTCTTTTGGTAAGGAAATACAATTGCTCCATGAGAGACAGCCACAGATAAAAGAGAAAGGATGGCAACCTCGCCTCTCTTTCCTTGCAGCCAAACAGTGAAGGAGCCAGAACTTACATTATAATGGAAGAGGAAGTGTTTGAAAGAAATACTTCTATCCAAAGCCCAGAAATATTTCTGCCCCAGGCCTGCAAAGCCACAATTATAATGAGGAACATTTTAAATTTGAGATTAGAGTTCTAAAATGAATGAATCTGAGTGGTATATTCTAGACAGCAATTATTTTAATAATAAAAACATGGCAGAGTAATTTTGAAATCTAGCTATAACACAGGAAAATGAGGTTCAGCATACCAGGAGTTCTTTTATTGAAAAAAAGTAAATATCACTAGAGGCAAGTTTATGCTTTGAAAAGCAGGGATACTCTAATAAACCACTTAAATTTGGTGAGACTCTGAAACCTTTCTCATATTTGTTCCAAATTTCCTTCCACTGCTTGAATTTATTTATATTTTATTTATCATGTTTTTGAGATGTAGCATTTAACCATGTTTAGTCAAATAACTATTTTTTGCTCATAAAATTAAATATTAGTAATACTGTGTTTTTGTTTATGACATATTTTTTTCCTAATGAGTTATAATTTTTTTTTTTTTTGAGATGGAGTCTCATTCTTTTGCCCAGGCTGGAGTGCAGTGGTGTGACCTTGATTCACTGCAAACTCCACCTCCCTGATTCAAACGATTCTCCTGCCTCAGCCTCCTGAGTAGCTGGGATTACAGGCACACACCATGATGCTTGGCTAATTTTTGTATTTTTGTAGAGATAGGGTTTTACCACGCTGATCAGACTGGTCTTGAGCTCTTGATTTCATGATCTGCCCACCTCAGCCTCCCAAAGTTCTGGGATTACAGGTGTGAGCCACTGCGCCTGGTCATAAATGGCATTTTTTTTAAACCAAAACTACAAATGAAAGGCCAGTAGGAAACTGACTTGTAAAATACCAGGAATTGAATATTTCTGAGCTCCCCATTTTTATTATATAGAAATAGATAATTTAAATATTGATGTTTTTGATTTGCCAGAGTTTTGTCACAGGTTTCCCACTTTGTATCAGAAATATCAAATTTTGATCTTTGCCTCACTTCCAGGCTTTTAATAAAAACATAGTATCCAGTCCTTCCCAATCTATCATTATATTAATATTTTTGAGGTTATTAAAAAAGAGGGAAGAGACTGTTATAAAGATATTTTAAATTCCGTGATCCAAAGGAATATGAAATTTGGAAAGGAGAGAATGATTATGTGTTTTGATATATTTGATTGCAAATGACAATCTATCTCGATCTAAAATATCAATCAAAAATACTAAAATTTTGCATCAAAGAACCAAAAAGGTACTGAGACACTTAACATACTATTTCTTAGACTAATGTTTAATTCAAGTTCTTTTTGGTAAATGTCTTCAAAAATAAATGATAGTATTTGTTATACTACCTATTGCATTGACAATCTGTGAGTATATTGAATAAGTCAAAACAATACTGTTTTCTTACCTATTTATTCCCAAACATGTAAATGTGGGATACTTTCGTAGTTTTGGAAAATGTTTATTCTCCTCAGAGAAAAGTGACAATTTCATCTGATAAACATCAAAGACCTTTGAGTTCTGGAAAACTATAGTTTTTATAACTAAATATACCTAGGTGAAGAATAAGTCCTGTCAAACTCACCTAATTTTCTTTTATGGTAGTGACAAACTTGATATATCAAATAGAAGAATTGGGTTATAATACTTCCTGACTGTTTACTCAAGATTTAATTTGAATTTATTTGAGAATGTAGCTCAAAGTATACTTTTATTATCTGGGTTGACAATTAGCAGTAGTATGATTTCAAAAGCATAATTATGTGTGTTTGGATCTTATTTTAAGAATGTGAAGTGGATAGAGTTTCAGAGGGATTTAGTTAATTATTCAAAGGCTTGATAGAGTTTAGGATTAATCCTTGGCAATCTATGAAATAAGTAAAGCTTGTACCTGACTCTATTTGCTTTGTTAACTTCTTAAGTCTTTCTAGTTTTATTTCATATGCCAAGGGAACCTTATTATAATGAATGTGTACAGTGTTGCTCATAGTTTGGGCCTGTCCAATTTTTAACACAGCAAGTAAAGTCTTCCCAGTTGTTATTCTTTTAAGATGTGGCCGACTGCGACATCCAGCTTAGATCACTAATCAACCTGTTCCTATGTGCATCATGCATATAACAAAAAATGGTATATTGACTTGGCAAACACTTACTTATGCATATTTTGTTGTTTTCTTGCTTATGTCAATATGCCCCTGTCTTTCTACAGGTAGGATTTGATATAGCAAACATGATAATTGAAAAAATGAAAACAAATTACAGCAATAAATTTAGTGCAGAAGGATAAAATATGTGAAAATCATAATAATAATAGTCAAAATTATATCTAGTTATCTCAAATCAAAAGTATATGTAATGTTTCAGTCACAAAATATATAGGCTCTACATCCCTTCAACTTTTTGACATCAGTCTCCTTCCAGTTCAGTTTACTCTGCAGGGAATCAAAAGTCCTAGATCCATGAGATACTCTTGAGCATCCCAGAACCAGTTTGATACCTCGAGGTGTCAGTGATTCAAGTACTTGTGATGGTGATGCCTTTTTGTTCCTTCATTCATCCTTCACTGGTCTCTTTTGTTTTGCACAATATTTTCTGATGTAGCATATTAATTCTTTTAATAATTTTTCACCATATTTGTTATTTTGTATGGTTTCTCTAGGGCTTACCATATACATTTCAATTTAGCAGAAATCTACTTCAGATTTTTACTAATTTCAGTTATAAATGTCACTCTGATATAGCTCTATTTCCATTTCCGTCTTTATATGTTATTATTATACATATTGCATCTATATATGTTACAAATTCAACAATATATTATTTTATATAAAGTTATATCTCTTAAAAACAGAAAGAATAGGTCAAATAGGTATTTATAGTGTTTATTTTATTAGACACCTTATTTACCATTTCTAGTCTTTTTATTTGTTCCTGAGAATTTGATTTACCATTTGATATCCTTTCTTTAGTTCAGTATCAGTTTTCTCCCACCTGCTTTCTTTTGGTGCTGTTGCCCAATACATTTCTCTATTTTACAGATCCAATAACATTATACACATATTGTTTTACACAATCACTCTTTATGAGTAAGAGAAGAATGGATAAGAAATATGCATTTCTCCTACCTTTTATGATCATATATTTACCTTTAGTGGTTCTTTCTGATTTTTCATGTGGATTCAAATTACTGTCTGGGTACGCTTGTTTGCAGCCTGAAGAACTTTGTTTAGTAATTCTTTGAGGGAGTATATGCTAGCAACAGATGCTGCCCGGTTTTCTTTTACTGAGAATTTCTTCATTTCTCCTTTGCTTTTGAAAGTCAGCTTTGCAGGGTATAGGATCTGGAGTTGTAAGTGGATTAATTTGTATATTTTGAAAATGCAATCCCACGTTCTTCTGGTTTCTGTTATTGTTTCTGATGAGAAGACACCTGTTAATTTTATTGGGATTCATTTACAAGTGATGAGGTTTTCTCTTGCTGCTTTCAATATTTTCTCCTTACTTCTGGCTTAAAGAATTTTTACTATAATGTTTCCATTTGCTTGTTTTATTTTACCTAATATTAGAATTTTCTGTCACATACTTTAAAGCCCTATTTTTAGTAATCCCTTCTGTTTCTGACTCTCTCCTATGTCGTTAGCTGTGCTAATCAGCGTTAAAGTTTTTCTTGTTACTCATCCACTTAGAAATAGTCTCTGTCATCTTATTGTCATTCAGGTAAAATGCAAAATCCTTAATATAATTTTAAAGCAGTTTGTATCTGGGCCATGCCTATACCTCAAAGTTTTAATTTTGATAATAATTCTCCTTTTTGTTCATGTTTCTGCCAACCTGGATTTTATTAGTTCTTCTAGTATCACCAACCCCTTTGAGGCCTCTTACACATGTTGTTCCCTCTTTCTGGAGAGATGCTACTTAACTCTAATATCAGTAAATTTACTATTGTTAAGATCATGTTTTCTAGGCCAATTTAGATTTTACTGCTATTTCTTTGCTAGCAGAGATGCTGCTTTGTTCCTCTGAGCATCAGCAAACTTTTTCTGCTAAAGAGCAGATACTAAATATTTTAAGCTTTGTAGGTCATGTAGTGCCTCTCTTACATATTCAGCCCCTTCTTCTTTTTAATGTCTGTAACAATGTAAGAATCATCCTTAGTTGTAGGTTATAGA